CAGAAATTCCAGTGGGACAGTGGGAATCGAACTACCCGGTCTACTTGCCGAGAGGCTGAGCCCTAACCACTTGGCAACTGCAACCCCCTAGTCTGTTTATTTGTTGATGTCTACTATGGTGAGCATGTCATCAAATTATCTGTATGTGTGTTAGAATAATTTTCCTTAAAAGTAAAAACACTTCTATGAGTATGCCTGAATCAAAATTGACATTCATTGTCGCAGTTTTTGTATAAAATGCCTTGTAATATATTCATTGTTTCCTTAATTGGAACAGAGGGGTAGAGGTTTTTTATGCACTTATGCAGTAGTATCATGTTTTTACCCTTTTGTCACTTAAATGCGACAAACATATTTGTTCAATACCATCACAATTTACTTTTTTTAATTGCTTATTTATCAAAATTGTAACTCTTAAACTTCTAAACATTTTATTTTAATTTTTTTAAATAGTTACAATAGCATTTTTTCAGTGTAGGATTGTAATTATTGAATACAGAGATGACATATACATTTATTTTCATTATAGCACTTTTGAAGCTATGACCCACTTGCTCTTCATCATCATGAGGGAGGTCGGTTAAAAACTGAGTCTGTTCGATCCCTCTCATGATGCAGAAGTATAAGTCATAGCTTGAAAACACGTAAATGATAATAAATGTACATGTCGTATGATTTTAATAATTTTAATATTTAAAACAATTCACTAAGCAAATAACCAACAATAACAATAGATAAATTAGAGTTGTATTTAGCAACCGTTAATTAATGATTGTTTGGAAATCGTGAGATGTGATCTTGTGTGTTGTACGCTTAGAAAAACATTTTCTTTCTTGTGCCAATGTTTCAATCTTTATTTAGATCATAATATACACTAATCATATACACAATATTACAGAAAACACGCACTTAGAGTCCTGGAGATGATCTAATAAGATTGAAATGTTGGCACAATAAAGAAAATGTTTTTCTAAACCTACATCACACAAACTGCATCTCATGATCTCCAAATAAATTAGAGTATTATTATTTTAATTATTTATTTTTTCTACCTAAAGTCTCGGTTGAGACAAAGGTTAGTTTCACGAGCGGGATTCAAACGCACAACCTTCAGGCTTGGTTGAGATGAAAGCTGAAGCTGAAGGTCATGGATTCAAATCCCTCTCATGACACTAATTTTTCATCCGAACCAAAAACCTTTGATAAAAAGAATAATTAATTGAAATAATTAATATGGTCTATTATGACCACTAAACAAATGTGGATTAATTAGTACATTAAATGAGTGGACGCTTGCATTTGATTTTATTTTTCTTGTATAATTGCTAGGTTATGTGTGATGATTAGTGACCGTTAGTCGATGATTATTCAGAAATAGTGAGATGCGTTCTGGTGTGATGTAGGTTTCAGAAAAACATTTTCTTTATCGTGCCAACGTGTTGTTCTTTATTGAGATTTTACACAGAAAACAAACACTTTGAGCCCTGAAGATGATCTCAATAAAGACATCACACCAGACCGTATCTCATGATTTCTGAATAATCATTATTAGGTTATTTGATTTGTTTTTCCTAAATTACTTGAAAGGGTTCAATGTGCCTGAGAAGAGGACAAAATTAACCAATCTTTTCTATATACCAAATTGTAAAACGGATTATTTGATTAATGCTCCGCTAACTAAAAATGTGCTCTAATGCTAATGATATTGACCTCGAACTGTTTTGCACTTCTTTAAGAAAATTCAAATAGTAGCAATGATAAATGTGGGGTTTTTGATCTCATTTAGAAATACAGTTATTACTCACAGTTTGTTGATTTCTATTATCCGGATTTCAAGCTTAAAGTTCGTCAAGTTGAAGTACTGCACGTCTCTCGACATGAAACGTAGAGTAAACCCGCCGATCGCCCGCCAACGCGATTTTCCAATGAGAAGCCGGCTTTAATGCCGCTCAATTTTGAACGCGCGAAAAACCTGAATTACAACAATTTGATTTTATCGTTAAATCATTAAAATATTATTAATTTATCAATATTACTAGTATTTATTACAGTAATATTTAGTTTTATTATAATTAACTGTTTTCGCACGTTCAAAAATTGAACGGCATTAAAACCGCCATCTCTTTGGAACATCGCGTTGGCGGTGGATCGGAGGGTTCACTCTTACAATCGTGTCGAAAAATATGATGTGCTTCTCCTTCAACTTGACGAGCTTTAAGCTTCAAATCCGCTCGCTGAAAACAACTTACTGTGAGTAGGAACTATCTTTTTAAAAAAGAATTTAAATAGTTGTAAAAAAAGTAATATGTAACATATGTATATGTATATATTTGATTGTAGGCTATTCGCTGTTAATTGAATAAATAAAATTAATATAAATGTCATTTTGTAACTGACATTTATATGAGAGGTCGATGGCTGAATATCGAGTACCCCATCGACCCTCAAGTAGGTTAGTTGTATATGTAAAGGTTATGTTGAGAGTGAATGCATTTATTAGTGTGATTGTGTGACGTGATATGATCGATCTTTAATTAGGCTAGTTCTACAATATGTGTAAAGGTTGATAGAAGAATATATGAATGGATTTGGAATTGCATGCATGATGGGGCGCTGAAATTCAAGGGTGATTATTAATTATTTGTGTTGTTGCTCTCATTATACATTGACAGGCAAAAGATTCCGCCCACTTTTAACATAACTGGATTTGTATATATTAACCAAAGAGTCACATTTTTTAACGTTTAATAATTGAGTCTTTATCTAAAAAAAATTGCTAAGGAAAATGAAAAAAAAAGACAGATAAAACATGTTTATTAGATTTTTAATTAACGTTTCAGTATCGTGTGTTTCGTCCTCTCGCCTTAATTACATCTCGAAGACAGCTTGCCATACTTTCCACCAGACTGGAAATGTCTCTTTGCTGGAGGTTAGCCCATTCCTCATGAAGAGTCCTTTCACCATCGTGGAATGAATCAGGAAGTGCTCTTATCCGTCTTTTTAGATTATCCCGTAAATGTTCGATGGGGTTCAAGTCTGGAGAATGGGCTGGCCAGGCTAATACGTTGATGTTATGCTGTTGATGGTATGCTTGTACTATGTGAGCAACATGTGGACAGGCATTATTGTGCATTAGAATAGGATTATCGCTGATTTCATTGCGGATAGGCAATGCATGACATTCCAAAATTTCATCCATATAACAAGTCACCATCTAAGACCCTCCATGAACAACAACCAACTCTGTGCGACTCTCCATTGAAATTCCCGCCCACACCATCACTGAGCTATGTTGAAAAGGTTAGCTCTGGGAAAAATTACATGCTTCGTACCTTTCATTTCCTTCTACACACTCTTTGACGCCCATCTGGAGATCATAGAGCAAATCTACTCTCATCTGTAAAAGTACAGCAGACCAATCATCTAAAGACCAATGGCTTCTCGAGCAAATGAGAGCTGTGCAACTCTGTGCGTTCTGGTCAATTCTGGTCTTATGGGGCGAAAAGGCATCACTCCATACTGATTTCATCTTCTTTGAGCAGTGCGTTCAAAAATTTGGACACCTCGAACTTCCTGGAGCTGATGAATCACTTGAACAACAGTAAGGTGCCGATTTTACAAAATTCTCAAAGTGAAAAAAACGGTCATTCTATGGTTCTTTTACCCTAGGATGCCCAGAACCGGGCCTTCTATGATAGGATCCAGTTTCTCAAAAATGTCTAATGATGTCTCATAGAGTTTCGTAGGGAACTCTGATGACAATAGCCTCATACCTAATGGAACGTCCATCATCAATAAGTGCCACACCACACACAACATCCCCAAAATTAAGTGGCATTTTTAAGTTTAAAAATTGAAATTAAGAAAACAAAGATGAAAACTAAATGGTTTATAGCTTCAGAATTCAAATGAGACTGAATAAACATTTTAAATTTCATAAAAAGTAAACATTGAGACATACTTTATCATTGTTTTGGATTAAGGGATAAATGTGTTTACCTCTATTTGATATCCATATAGGATGCTGGATTATGGAGTTAGATGTGCCAGCTCGGTTGGGGACCAAAATCCAAAGACATACGTTGGATCCTAAAACTGAGGTGAGAATTGCTGAACTTTCAGCATAAGCTGTATGATCTCCTCAGCCAACAGGAGTGTGAGTTATGCAATTACCAGGTAAAGGAAGACATTCCATTTTGTCGCAGAATGCCCCCTTCTGTCCCCTATCCTTTGTCTGCGTTCAGCGAAAGAACCGTATCAATGGACAGACTCATAAAATTGCGCAACGGACCAGATTGGACGCCTCGGTCAATTATGCAAAAGTGGCCTGAGCTTATTGAAGGCTAATAGTAAACGAATTTAACTAATTCTCTTTTCTTTTTCTCTTTTACTGCTCATCTCTTTTCCCCTGCTCTTTCTCTTGATATTTGGTACTTCTGTTTCTCCGGTCTCAGCTTCGGTTCATTGATTTTTACTTCTCAGTTTTGTGTCCTTTTTATTTAGTATTTTGTTATAGATATTACATTTAACATATATTTAGCTTAATGCATTTGTACGTTTATTTTGTAGGATTAGTTAATAATTAATCCAAACTCTGGCAGACGATTACTGTGCCGAATTAAGTTTATTTTCTTGTCTGAATTATCTGTAATTTTTATTTTCTTCATGTGTGCAATAAACTTATTATTATCACTATTTGACATTCCCAATTTAAAATATAGCTTAAACAAATATTTATTGGTAAAAACAATGAGACAAATTAAAGGCAGAATTTTCTTTTATCGAGAAAATGAAAAAAAATCAATTGGGTGGAATTTTTTTCCTGTTGGTGTATTTATTTCTGTGCTATTGGTATGAGCCGATTTATGAGATTTGTCGCTAGATGGTGCGTAAATGGTTGTCGGTCAGCGGCGAGCAGGTCGTTCGTGTGTCGTCGGTCCGAATCGATAAATGGGCGTTCGGTGGGGCCGGCGGGCTTTTCCCCGCGCTCGGCACATGCGCCTTCCCCACTCGTCAGTCTCAACACCACCAACTCGCGGCTCACAACCCAGTTCACAGTTTTCCATTTCGAGCCGAACTCGTTTTTCACCGGTGATTTTTTTTTCTCCGGTTACACTGCCTCGATCCGACAGGAAGGAGTCTCATCGGAGAAGGTGAGTGGACGAGACAATCTCATTTGAAGGGCGCCGGCCCGGTGACCGGGACTCGGCAGCAGAGCCTTCCTGCCGTCTCTGACCCACGTGTTGTCTCCCTTCGGCTCATTATCACGTTTTCTTTATACTCGGGGCCCCTCTTATTTTCGACTATTTGGCGCATTTCCCCCTATTCATTTTCAATCTCTGCCCTATTCAGACCTTCATTGACACATCTCACGCGAGAAAAAAAAAGTTCGCCTACTTTACCTAAATTTTCCTAGTTTAATTGTCCTTTCCAACTGAACCTCTTCGATTGAATGCATTTTTCACAATCCGCGTCTTGCTTTCCAACCTGCCACATTAAGAAAAACTAAACATTTTATACTTCTCGACCCATTGCATAACAAAATGTCCTCACCTACTTTACTTAAATTGTCCTATAAGAATTATCCTTACCAAAAATAATAATAGTAAATAAATTATAGAAGTCAACTTACTTTATACTCTTCTATCTGTATGATTAATAATAACAACATTTTAAGTATATAGGTTCGGTTTTTTCTTCCTTTTTCTAAGGACGTGCCTCAGGCTCAACTACCTTCTATTTCCAATTCCATTGGGCCATCCCTGACCATCCTTACGTACATATTTTGTTCTAACTGGTCGTCAAAATGTAATATTATGCTAAATAGTGCAATTTTATGTTGTTTTAAATAACTAAACGTGTTTACTTGAAAAAACAACATTAGAAGTGTATCTTCTCACCTACTTTACCTAAAGTCTCTTAGGAGAATTTTTCCAGTTGGCCAACTGATTTCTTGCACTTCCACCATCTTCCTTAGCTTTATGAATAATTCTTTCTAATTAATTAATTCTCCATTTAAACCTTCATTGACTTCCACTATAGACCTGTTTAGGTCACAATGGAAGAAAGAATTATATCCTGCATCAACGCCACAACACATTTCATGCAAAAAAAAAAAGAAAAGAAATACTACTTTACGTAAATTCTCCTAGTTTAATTGTCCTTTCCAACTGAACCTCTTCGATTGAATGCATTTTTCACAATCCGCGTCTTGCTTTCCAACCTGCCACATTAAGAAAAACTAAACATTTTATACTTCTCGACCCATTGCATAATAAAATGTCCTCACTTATTTTACCTAAATTGTCCTAAGAGAATTATCCTTTCGAAAAATAATAATAATAATAAATAAATTATAGAAATCAACTTACTTAATACTCTTCTATCTGTATGATTAATTATTCCAGTTTTAATTATATAGGTTCAGTATTTCTTTCTTTTTACTACGAAGTACGTGCCTCAGGATCAACCACCTTAGATTTCCAACTCCATTGGACCATCCCTTACCATCCTTACGTACATAATCTTTTCTACATGGTCTTCAAAATATATAGTATTATGTTAAATATAGTAATTTTATGTTTTTTTACATAATTAAACATGTTTACTTGAAAAAACACCAATAGAACTTCCCACTTTCTCACCTACTTTACCTGAAGTCTCTGAAGAGAATTATCTTTTCCAATAATTTCACCGATTTCTTACATTTTCCACAATCTTCTCGCTTTATGAATAATTTTATTAAGTTTTAAATATACGGGTTCTGTATTTCTTCCATTTTTTGGTTCTAAGGACATGCCTCAGTTTCAACCACCTTCTATTTTCAAATCTTTGGAGCCATCCTGACCATCATTACCTTCTAATTTGTTCTTTCTAGCCTTCAAAATGCATGGTAAATAAATAAAATTATCCATTTTAACCTTCACTCTCACTTTGACACATCGCACCAAAAAAAAAAAAAAAAAAACTCTCACTTTGACACATCGCACCAAAAAAAAAAAAAAAAAAAAAAAAAAAAAAAAAAAAAAAAAAAAAAAAAAAAAAAAAAAAAAAAAATCCTCTCATATTCTCATAAGAGATTTATCCTTTCGAACTGACCCTATTCGTGGCGACTGATTTTTTGAACTTTTCACAATTCTTTTGCTCTCCAACCTGTCGCTAGTAAAATTGGACCCATGTATAAGAAAATGTTCTCACCTACTTTACCTAAATTGTCCTAGGAGAATTATCCTTTACAAACCAAATCAGCTTTATTATCTTCTATCTGTATGAGTCATTTAAGCACCTTTTAAATATGCCGGTCCAGTATTTCTTCTTTGTTTTTCTAAGGACGTGCCTCAGTTTCAATCACTTTGCATTTTCAATCTATTGGGGCACCCTTGATCATCATCCTTACCCACATAATTTGTTTTATTTGTTCTGCGTGCCCTTCAAGATACGTATATAGTATTACGATAAGAAAATCATGTTATTTCATATTGTTTTTACATAGCTAAACACATTTACTTGGGGCGGGGGGGACTTCTCACCTCCTTTACCTAAATTCTCTTCGAGTCAGTCCATTCCAACTGATCGACAACAATTTTTGCCTTTCAACTTGCCACTTAGTAAAATCTTAATATTTTATGCATCTTAACACACTGCATGAAAAAACATCTTCACCTATTTTACCTGAATTCTCCCAGGAGAATTATCCCCCCCCCAAAAAAAAAACCAAAAAAAAAACAACAACTTAGAAATCAACTTATCTTTACAATCTTCTAGCAATATGAATAATTTTAGCATTTTTTAACATTTAGCAGTCTAAAGTTAACTATTTCTTTCGCTTTTTCTTTTTAAGGCATGCCTCAGGTTCAACCACCTTCCATTTTCAATTCTTTTGAGCCAACGTGACCACCATTACCTACATAATTTTTTTTACCCTTGAAACGTATGCTAAATAAAATTATTCTCTCCATTCAAATTTTCATTAACACGTGTCACATTTTATGTAGAAAAAAAACTCCTCACCTACTTTACCTAAATTCTCTTGGGAGAATGAAATATGGTCTTTGTTTCGTTGTATTTTCTTCTTGAAAATATAAAATTGATTGACCGGCAATTTAATCCGCTTTCTCAGCGAGTCGTGCTCAATTTTCAACAACTCTGCTTCATTAACAAGTCCTTCATTTTGGCCCGGTTTCCCGAGTCGAAATTAATTGGTTAAATTTTTCGCTGGCACTACTGTATTGATTGATTTTAAAATATACGAGGTTTTGGCGGTTTTTTTTTCTCTCAGCGTGTAGGAATTTTTTTCGTTCCTTGGAGAAGAATTCTTATTAAAGACCCAGGCCGAAGAGGTCCTCGGTGCCTCACAGGTATCGATAGCTTCCGTTACCCATTCCGAATTTTTCCATGCCGGGACGATTAAACACTTAACAGTAGAACGTGGGACTGAGCCTTGTTCGGATTAATCGAAAAAAAGTCTTATAAAGCAGAAGGAAGCAGGAAAACTGGTCTGATCAGATGATATACAAAAGTTGAAAAATAAGCTTGAATTAAAAAAAAGCAGAACAAGAGGTGTAGTTAGGTCATTTCCAATCATTTTGTTCCGCTTACCCTCGCAGTTCCGGCTCGTCGAATCTTTAGTTTTTAATAATTATTTTAGTTAAAACCCACCACTGAAACAAAAGAAGAAAAAATCAGATTTTTGTTATGTTTTAAGTAAATATCTTATTAAGTTCGGTAATTAAACATGTTATGAGTCGCCATTTTCAAAACTTATTGCTTAATGTGTGGTGATTAGTGATCGTTAATCGATATTTATTTAGAAATCGTGAGATGTGGTTCTTGTTTAATAATTAATTAAAAAAGACGAAAGGGAAAATAGAAAGATATATAGTTTTCCAAAAACTTTTGTCCTTAATTTGTAAAATTGGCAGAAATTTTTAATCCGCTGGCTCAACCGGCTGGCCTACTTGCAACACTTCGCCTCATAATCACATTCGATTTTCCAACTTCGACCAATTATTATTATTATTATTTATTGTTGTCTTATCGCCTTTAAGAATAAAAAATGGTCATTTTTTCCTTACATTGTTAAATTAACAGCTAAATTTAATTAAAAACGGCCGTGGTGCTTCCGTGAAATTTCGTTGGTAAAAAAAACCAATTATGGATTATAAGGCACTTACTCCCGTGACCTAAATTTCCTTGGTAAAAAAAAAAAATCAATTTGATGGTTCCCCCGTGGACCTAGTATCACGTTTTTTCGTTTTTCTCGTGTTTCCCGAATTACTAAAATTTTCTTCTTTTACAAGTCATTGAGCTCATGAACAATTCAACCTGATGTAAAAACGTAATAGTAATGTAATATTTTCCCCGATTATAAAGTCAATGAAAGGTAAAGGTGAGGCGAGTATCCGTTGGCCTTTCTCCACTTGGATGGCGTAATTGGACTATAATTAATTGTATATTTCGCCCCTTTACCATTATTGTCAAAAATGATGTGAACTATCATAAATTGATTTTTAATCAATGATATATAGACATAAATATAGAAATTGATGGAATATTATGATTTTCAGTTTATACCATCCACCTTGTCTGATTGCATGATAACCCAAATTTGCCTTAAATTGTCATGGAGGAATTCAATTCCCCCGCAAGTAATTACGATAATAATGTTTCCTTTATTTATTATGCTTCCTCTTTTCCATAAACAATAGAAACCAGGAAGGAGTAAGACAATTTATATTATTTTTGTTTTATACACAGTTTATTCCGTCTGCCAGAAAAAGTTTGGTTAATTTGTAATAGTAGTTGAATTTTTTTTATATTCTCTTTCATAAACAATGGAAATCAGAATGGAGTACAATTGATAGTTTTTTTTGCTGTAATAGTACTTGGGTCTTTGTATCAGTAAAAGTGAAGGTAGGCTGGCTCTTAAATGACTACTCAAAACATCTCTCCCTCCTGCAAAACCATGCGTACCCAATGAAAGATCCCTAATTTAGGGCAAGTTAGGATGAGGGGTTAAGATTATCTACCTAAAAAAGACTTATTATCAGCGAAAATCCTTGGGTACTACGTAAAAAAGTTGTAAGTTTCCTTATTGTGTCCTTAGAACTATATACTTTCTATCCCAATTAACATTTTTCTCATTCAGATAATT